TTCCAAGTTCTTTATGGCTTGAAGGCTTTCAGTGGTTACATCATGTAATAGCTTGATATCATTCGGCGATTCTCGTTTGGATACTGGTAAATCTATTATTCTATCTAATAATGTGGATAATATCTGGCGCTTGTTTTCATATCTATTCTGTAATGTGTTCCAAGCGATCTCATAGTTATCTTCAGTAATTTTAAAGTGCTGTATTAACTTGAAGGCTTCACCTTTTAAACTGGTTTTCAGATATTGCATCTTTTCTGTTTTTGATAATGATGTTTCATGTATAATCTTTTGAAATATATCATTGAAGGAACACCAATTCTCGTAGTTGCCATCAAAGAAGGGAATATTTATTTTTGGTAATACCACATTGGATTTAATACTTTCTAGAGTATTACCTGAGTTTTCTTTTGCTTTTGTATTCAGTTCTTCCATTATTATTTCATATTGATTTTCCATACTTATATATCTGTCCATAACAAAATACTCATGTGTAAAACGCGCTTCGTATACCATAATTTCCTCATGTAATTCTAATATTGCATCCCATTGTTTTTGCACTTTGTTGGTTAATGCCTCATACCTGTATTTTGTTTTACCTTGGGTTGCTTCTTGTTGTATTTGTTGGATAGTGCGTTTGAATTGTTCCATTTTTACCATTTGTTTTTTTGATTCTAAGTTGCTGTTCCACTTCTTCATTACTATTTGGTTGTATATTTGGGTCTGCTTTGGAACAATCTTTCAGATATTCCTTGTATTCATCGTGTTTCCCTTTTATTTGATCAAAATACTGACTTGTAAAATACACATGATCGGAGAGACCTATTTTTAAGGCTTTGAAATGGTTTTCATTCGCTTGCTCCAATAAGTTCTCTCTTTCTTCAGTTTTATTTGCAATATACTCTTCTGTTTTTCTAGATGACGAGTCTTTTTTGGCATTGCTAAGCAATTGTACTATTTGCTTACCAATTTTTTCTTGATCTTTTGCTATTTTGTCAATTTCTTCGCTTTTTGTAGGCATTTTTTTTTTTTCTGTACTATTGATTGACTGGACTATTAATTTAATATTTTTTACTTTTTTGCTCGAAGGACCAATGAATAATTTGTATTAAAAAATAAGGGCTATTTTTTAATAATTATTATATTAATTTTAAGGATGTTAGATAGACGAAACGTGGGGTTAAAAAGCATTTATTTTTAAAAAAATTAACATTTTTATAAACTATTATTATTAAACAAAATTTCAACAATATTAAATATAAGATAACAACTTTGCTAATTAATTAAACAACGAACTCGATGTTTTCGCTGAGTTGCAATTTTCAGGTTCGCCGACCAGAAACGTTCTAATTTTAACTGTTTAATTTATGGTGAAATAAATTAAACTTTGATGTACAGGATGTTATTTTATTATGTTCTGATTGAACAATAACTGTCACTTGAAAGTGATTGAAATTTTGCATGCAAGCTTTTCTTATGTCGTGATTACGAACGGTCTATGAATCTTTGCAAGTAGTATTTGATTTTTATTATTTTATGTTCTGAAGTTGTTGCAGATATTTAAATAAACCTACTAAAAAAGTGAAGATCGTATTTTTATGTACGATCTCACTGATGCAATCGTACATCGTACAGAGAGTTAAAAAATCGTATAAATACGATTTAAATCGTACGGTTGGCAACACTGAGACAGGCAGTAGACGTGGACAGCAGTAGACACTAGAAAGTTTGTAAATATAAATGTCAGTTAGTTTTATGTATATAGAAGAATCCTGAATTTAAATTTTAAATTTTGAGTTCATGATTGTGTTATTCTCTAGATGAACCAAGCGAAATAGTTGTGGCTATTTTTGTGTGAAATTTGAGGACAATAATTATATTTTGTAATATTACAATAAGTCGGAGAACGTATTGCATTAGTAACACATGCCACATGAACAAATTTAACAACCCCAATGTGGCGTTCTTTAATAAACCAAAGAAGGTAAGATTTATTCATGTAAGTAACACAAATAGTAATCAACTTTTGTCACAAAGTAGGTATTTATTTATTATTTATTGTTTTAGAACAAGAAAATGGATTTAAAACGTTAGAAAGAAGATTTTCATATAGGAAGAAAAATATCTGAATTCCCATTATTGAATTTGCACTCAACATTTTTAAATAAGATAGCATTGGCCATTCGTTTGGAAAATAAAAACAAAAATGCAATGTTACAAATAATATTAATTAAAAAAAATATATTTGCCATGAATATAGATTTACAATAATTAATCGATAATAGACTGTAAGTGTAGTATTCTTTTTAATAAATAATTTAGCGTAATTACACTGTTTAAGTTTATTTACAAGAACATGAGAGTGCAGTTGATATTTATACCACCTTTATTATCAGGTTTTTAAATTTCCCGCCGCTGCGTTGTTTGATATCGATGAAAGCGCCACATAGTGGGTCAGATGTTAACTGCGGTAAAGCTGGTCGTTGTTAAGCATTGGCTTCTTATGGGCGTTTCCTATCTTTATCTACCTTATCTCTGGTTATACCATCAGGGTTATTTGTTGATGTGTAATATGGGTTTCTAGGTGCATCACCTGATGGTAAGCGATAATTATTTACGTATTATAACAATAGTTTAATAACTTTTCTACTTTTTAGGTTTAATTAATTCTGATGAACTTGTCGGGTTAAATTTTTTTTAAAAGTAGTAGCCACATCTAATCTTTCGTTAAGAGGGGTAGAGAAAAAAATGGTTCCCTGTTTAAGAATTGAAAATGGTGAAATTCATTTAAAGGAAAACCACAATTACTATTATTAGGTGAGATTTCTGACTACATTTCAAAGTAATTTAATGAAAGGTATATTTTCTAACAAATTATGTTTTTAGATTCTCGGTATCTCACGAAGAAGAATGTGCCATTTTTTAGTTTATGTCAGTTTATGTAGGAGATGAGAATCCTCTTTTTATTGAAAAAATATATTTTAATGATTTTTTTTAAATCTAATGAAGAAACTAAGAGTTTTTTATGAGGATTGTCTAGGCCCGGAAATAATTTTGAATAGAAGAGGTAGAAAAATAAAATTCAGAGATCTAAATAAATTATGTATTATCTTTTTAAAATTAATAAAAATGTTTTTGTTTTAAGTTTTTTGATTTTATTTAATTTACCTAATTATACAAAATTTCGTGAAATACAGGTACCCAGCTAATCTGCTAATATTGTATATCTAATTTATTTTGATTTGTTTTGAAATTCTATATATTTAACTCATTAAAACTAAAAAGTGGTACTTTTATTAAAGGTGTATATTTATAAAGGTTTTATTTATTTTCAACACTTTAAAATTTTAACACATTCGATTATGAAGTTACCTACGTAAAGAGTATCTTTTTCTATATCGTTGATATAAATTTTTGTTATTTACTCATACACTATCCCGTTGGGATAGGAAAGTAAAAAACTAATAGGTAGGTATATAAACTATCCTATCGGGATTATTTTTTTACAAGCAAGTGATCTAATTTATAGGTGTTTCTATTTTATCTTTATTATAATATCTATATACCACAGTAACGAAAATGAATAGAGTGATTAATTCATTAACTCTCCGTCGATACCGAATTTTAACTACCACAACATAAAAAGACTACTATTGTTATTATCGCTGTTGTATCTGCTTATAATAGTAACTCTATTCATTTTCGATACACTGTAATATAAACTACTTTAAAGTTAAAATATTCAAAAATTAAAAAAGAGTACATCGTATTTATTATTAAAATTTAACTTATTTTAAAACCCTCGTATCTAAACCCAGCTGCTCATCTAAATATCATCACTCAACAACGTACCCAAATTCAACCAGGCGATCATTGCTCGACTGTGAATTAATATCGCACATTCTATATTCTTTTTGTCATATTATTAACTTGTTTTAGTGTAACTATTTTTTTTTAAATACTACAATATATTTAAAAAAAGAAAACATTTGATGTTATCAAATTTTAATTCGTTTTCATGCTGTAAAAGCTTAAACAAATTGTAATATCTTTTCTAGCCATCTATGGAAGCAGGGATGAACTAATTATTGATTATTTTCGGAAAGTGAGGACGCCATTTTTAGTCCAAATTTTTTTTAATTATAATGATTACACATATGCAACCCAATTTTCATTTATAACTATTTCGGAGGTCTAGGCCTTTTCGTATTTTCCTATTGAACGATTTGATAGGAAACTGTTTAAATTAGGTGAGGTTTCATTTTCAGAAAATTTATTGAATTTGTAATTTATTCTTACAATGAAAAAGATCTAAGAATAGGCCATTTTCTACCATACGTTTTTAATTAAAAACAATTAATTTAAAAACATTCAATGCCTGAACCATCTAAGTTGAACCTTTATCTACAATTAAAAAAAATAAATAGTACGATATTCGGTATAATTACGGAAATAGTTACAATTAACTATTTTGTCTTTGCCTATTTATGTATAGAATTTTAAACTATCTTTTAAAATAAGGGAGATGTTTCAATAAATTGGTACCTCACTGGTTAATAAGACTTAACAAATTTTATTGTATATAGAGTAAATAAACTAAATGTTTTAGGCCATTTTTTAAATAAGAATTTGGATGAGTAGTTAGCACAGGCATAACTTACCATCTACTTTAAAAATGTTTTATTATCACATATTTACCAGTAACGAAAATTATATCTCCTTGAATTCACTTAGGACAGATGTCCAATTATTAACAACTATGGACTTCCAATTTATTTCAATCTATATTTTCAAGCTCTGTATTGTGTTGTACTAACAGCTAATAAATACCACACAATTCACTAAAGTCTGTAGTCACTTGTCACTTAAGTGCATTCTGAATGTTTATCTTCCTTTCTGACATCCGCCCTAAGTGAATTCAAGCAAAGATATAATACCTGCATCATCAAAATCGAAAAACGTAAATTAAAAGTCAAAATTATTCAAATAAATAATTTATTTTTGCAGCTTAATTTATAATAAAATTAATCCAACAACTGACAACTGAAGATGATCACAAAATGCAAAATGTTATCTATCTTCGCATCATCGCCAATGGATATTTATAACTAAACTGTGTATAAATTATTAGAATAATAAATCAAATTATATCACTAAATTAATAGGTTCCATATGAACCGTCTCCATCATTTTTATAAAGTTTTGTATAAAAATCTAAATTGTCTTGATATGGATTTTTCACTCCTTCCAAAGTTGAATCAATACCCATCAAAAAAGATGGTTGTTTACTTGAAGCTGGCAACCAAGTGGCATTCTGCAAAAGTGGATCTGATCTTGGAATCGGTTTCCTAAAATTAATATAAATATAAATACAAAAAATAATATTGGGGCTACAAAAAAAAATTTGGACATAGGTTCTATCTACATAGGTGATTCAAATTAATTTTTCCTAGGCTTTTAGGTACTGGTTTTTACCTTCGTCTTGTGTATTTCCTATCTGTATACCTGTATATCTGTATATCTATATATCTGTCTTTCCATATAAGGAAAGTAAGGAATCATGATTTTTTTCGACCTCGAGTTTTCGACGGATTTTTACGTTTTGAGGTCCCCTGAATCCGTTTTGACTATTTTCGCGATGATGTCTGTGTGTGTGTGTGTGTGTGTGTGTGTGTGTGTGTGTGTGTGTGTGTGTGTGTGTGTGTGTGTGTGTGTGTGTGTGTGTGTGTGTGTGTGTGTGTGTGTGTGTGTGTGTGTGTGTGTGTGTGTGTGTGTGTGTGTGTGTGTGTGTGTGTGTGTGTGTGTGTGTGTGTGTGTGTGTGTGTGTGTGTGTGTGTGTGTGTGTGTGTGTGTGTGTGTGTGTGTGTGTGTGTGTGTGTGTGTGTGTGTGTGTGTGTGTGTGTGTGTGTGTGTGTGTGTGTGTGTGTGTGTGTGTGTGTGTGTGTGTGTGTGTGTGTGTGTGTGTGTGTGTGTGTGTGTGTGTGTGTGTGTGTGTGTGTGTGTGTGTGTGTGTGTGTGTGTGTGTGTGTGTGTGTGTGTGTGTGTGTGTGTGTGTGTGTGTGTGTGTGTGTGTGTGTGTGTGTGTGTGTGTGTGTGTGTGTGTGTGTGTGTGTGTGTGTGTGTGTGTGTGTGTGTGTGTGTGTGTGTGTGTGTGTGTGTGTGTGTGTGTGTGTGTGTGTGTGTGTGTGTGTGTGTGTGTGTGTGTGTGTGTGTGTGTGTGTGTGTGTGTGTGTGTGTGTGTGTGTGTGTGTGGGTGCGTGCGTGCGTGCGTGCGTGCGTGCGTGCGTGCGTGCGTGCGTGCGTGCGTGCGTGCGTGCGTGCGTGCGTGCGTGCGTGCGTGTGTGAGTGTGTGTGTGTGTGTGTGTGTGTGTGTGTGTGTGTGAGTGTGTGTGTGGGTGCGTGTGTGTGTGTGTGTGGGTGTGTGTGTGTGTGTGTGGGTGCGTGTGTGTGTGGGTGTGTGTGTGTGGGTGCGTGTGTGTGTGCGTGTGTGTGTGTGCGCCTGTGTGCCTGTGTGTGTGTGTGCGCCTGTGTGCCTGTGTGTGTGTGTATGTGTGTCTGTATGTCGCATAACTCATGAACCGATACACAGAAAAACACCAAATTTTAAACACTTAAGCTTTATTCCAGCGTCTAATGAACTGATTAGATTTTGGGCTGAGTCGGAACATCTGGGGGGGTACTTTATAGGTGGTCATTTTTATATTTTATGGAATATATCTGTTTTTTTTATTTGGTGTCATCGGCATCGACTGCTAAGGTCATTAGCCTAGGATTGGAGAAGAAAATTCTTCAAATAAAAGTTACTTTTTATATAATTATCTATAATTTTTGTTATATACAAAATTTTCCTAAAATGGTTCGTATTCGAGAAATTTGACAAAATGTAAAAAAAATAATTTTTTATAAAAATTGTTCAAATAAGAGTTGTTTGTTATATAATTCTCTATATTTTTTATTCCATACATAATTTCTCTAAAATGGACCGTATTCGAGATATTTGAGAAAATGTGTAAATTTCGAATTTTGAAGAAAACTCAAAAACGGATAAATAAAAAAACATTAAATTTTAAACTTAAGGTTTATTTCGGCCTGACGTGAAATTATTAGATTTTGGACAAAGTCGGAACATCTGGGGGGGTACTTTATGTGAGGCCGTTTTTATATTTTATGGAATATATCTGTTATTTATGTTTGGAGAAAAAAAATGTTCAAATAAAAGTTACTTCTAATATTATTATCTATAATTTTTGCATTATGTCAAAATTTTCTGAAATGGTCTGTATTCGAGAAATTTGACAAAATGTTCAAAATTCTGATTTTCATGAAAATTGTTGAACTAAAAGTTGTTTGCGAAATCGATCTCTATAATTTTTGTTTATACATGATTTTTCTAAAATGGACCGTAATGGAAAAGTGCTAAATTTAAATTTTTCAGTATTTTCGTTTTCAATGAATATCTATCGAAAAATGTTTCGAGGTAGATGTATGTGGCCAATGTATATATTTAGTTTATCCTCTAAACATTTATAGAGATGCTGCAATAGGTTGTACAAAATAACCGGAAAAAGCCTATAATAACTAGGTAGGAAAGTCATGTGTTGGACACATCAGATTTTTAGATTTAGATAGTTATATTTAACATTTTAATAGTGTTTTTGTATTTCGTTTAGTGATTTGATGTATAAGCTATATTTTCCGATTTTAGGTTGTTCATAAAAGTCAACATTAACAGAATAACCCATTTTATTTTGAATCATCACTCTCTTGTTCATATTATTTTTAAGAGATTATAGTAAAGTACTTACGAAAATTTGCAAAAATTTGACCAAAGTCTGACGGCCCTCTTTCTCATGAGTTGATCATTTGGAGAATACTGAAAACTCCTTTTGAATAAATAATTAAGATCTTCTGCATGGCTGACACCTACAAAAAAAGACAGCAAATTAAATACTTGCCTACTTCACTATATTTTTTTCTGTCTACCAAACGAAGGTTTAAAATACCCTAAAGATAAAATCGATGCTAGTGACCTCATTGACTATAAGGCCAAAGGTAGAACAGATGCTGAATCGGGGATCAGTGAAGAATCCTCGAGTCAGAAAAATGGTAACTGATGACCTCCAGAAAGAAAACTCAGAGGATTTACAAGAGATCACCACCTCCTCAGTTTCGGAGGAAGGGATGGTGGAGAAAAACTACCTTGCTGCTTAAACTCCAGGGACCGGGGCGCAATTAAAGAGGTAACAATCATGCAATGTAACTTGCAGCACAAAAGGGTTACTACAGTAACATTATGCCTCGATTTGACGAGATGCAAGTTATAATATCACTCATCCCGGAACCTTTATGTTCTAAATTATATAACAATACTACAACATAGCCCATGCATATAAAATGGTGTAAGCTCTAGATTATTATCGATCTCAGCATTTATTAGACTGCTTCCTCCGGCAATTTCTCGAATATGCATTTATCAAATTCGTCATCGTTTTAGTGTATTCTGGGAATTATTAACTTGGACTAGCCATAGACGTAGCATCGGGGGTTGATGTATTTCCTTAAATATTTTTGATAATCGGACACGTGGGATCTCAATAGCCCAAACAAGGCAGATAGAGACTTAAAAGGTTACTTTGTAAAGTAATATTTTTGCAAAAGAGGGCTTTATAGAAACACTTTGTAATAAAACAGTTAAGTCTCAGCTATATCTCAAGAACAATAAAAGTGGTACTGTCCATTAGTTAAAGATTTGTGTAAATACTAAATATATAATTTTTAATCATTTACCTTCATATTGTTGGCCCATTCTTCTATTATCTCCTATATAATTGAAACTGTAATAGTATACGTCACTGACATATTTACTTACGTCAATTACAAACTTGTCTATTGGCCGGACGAATAAATCAACGTTAAAAAACTAGAAATAAAATGGTAATCTATTAATATATTATAAATATGACAGTACAGTTAGTAATTAAAAAATGTTGTTTACACCAATGTTATAAGAAAAAAAAACGATAAACGATAAACGATAAACGATAAACGATAAACGATAAACGATAAACGATAAACGATAAACGATAAATGATAAACGATAAACGATAAACGATAAACGATAAACGATAAACGATAAACGATAAACGATAAACGATAAACGATAAACGATAAACGATAAACGATAAACGATAAACGATAAACGATAAACGATAAACGATAAACGATAAACGATAAACGATAAACGATAAACGATAAACGATAAACGATAAACGATAAACGATAAACGATAAACGATAAACGATAAACGATAAACGATAAACGATAAACGATAAACGATAAACGATAAACGATAAACGATAAACGATAAACGATAAACGATAAACGATAAACGATAAACGATAAACGATAAACGATAAACGATAAACGATAAACGATAAACGATAAACGATAAACGATAAACGATAAACGATAATATACCGGGTGTTTCATATTATATGCTCAGGATTTTAGGACGTGATAACTCGTCCAAAAATATGAAAAAACGTTTCTAATAACTTACCATCTAAAATCCACCATTTTCGAGATTGAAATTGAAAAAAAAAATTCCACGCCACTGAAAAAAGTACGGTTTTGAGATGCCCATTTGAACCGCCAATGTTTTCTACACAAAAAAGATACTCTTGGTCATACGCTTTAAAGTCGACCGTTTTCGAGAAAAATCAAATTTTGTTTCATCAAGTATGTATAACCATGTATTTCAACAATAAAATTTGATTTTTCTCGAAAACGGTCGACTTTAGAGCGTATGACCAAGAGTCCCTTTTTTGTGTAGAAAACATTGGCGGCTGAAATGGGCGTCTCAAAACCGTACTTTTTCCAGTGGCGTAGAATTTTTTTTTTTTTCAATTTCAACATCCTGTATCTCGAAAATGGTGGATTTTAGAGGGTAAGTTAATAGAAACGTTTTTTCATATTTTTGGACGAGCTATCACGTCCTAAAGCCCTGCGCATATATTATGAAACACCCTGTATAAACGATAATATATAATCGATAATATATAAACGATAAATGTTAAACTTGAAATGTTTCATTGCCTACTTTTGATACATTTTTTGTACATCACTCTATATTATTAATAATATGACGAGCTTACTTTAATAATGACTTGGAATGGTGCAAAAAATCCAGTATTGAATAAATTTTTAAAATATTTCTCTTTGATTGCCTTCATAGCACGTGTTTTGTTGGTTGGTGATGTTGTAAGATCTGCTGGTACCAAGTCCATGGAATTGACATCGAATTTAAGAAAGTATAAACGAAAGGGAACTGAAAATAAAGTTAATTTTTTTAAAATTGTTTCATAACAAAAAGTGAAAAATAAAAAAATACAAATATATGTACTATGGTAGAATAATAATAAAAATTAGGCCAAAATTTGCAAAATTGATAGTTATGTTTTAGGCCAGGTGGTGATAGAAAGTAGCTATCAGTAGTAATATAATTATAAACAAACGAAAAAGAACAAATTTGTTCAAAACTAACCCTTGGCTGAAGCAAGAATAGCAGTTTCATTTGAAGTGAAACCTGCTAAAACTGGTACCTTCGTAAAATTTCCCGTGGACAACATTTCTTCACTTTCACCGGTAAAAAAGGCTGAATCGTGTTTTACTTCTTTCACAGGACCGTACGGTATACCAGCAAGAATATTGCTAAAAGCGACCTGCAAAGAATAAAATATTTTTAGATAAAAACTTATGTAATCTACCTATAATCGATAAAATAGTGGTGGGATAGTAGAATTGTGCAACAAGTGTCACAAATTGATCAAACATTTAGCATTCGTAAAAATATATCAATATATTTTTTTGACGAAATAATTTTATTTATTTTGTTTACTTCCAATATTTATGATTGATATTGTAACCTACCGCACCCAGGTACCATAATCATTTATTAATTCCATTTTATTAAAAAAGTTGCATTCTTATTAAATACCAAATTCTTCATTTAACAAAAATCTTCCAGATAATTAAATCTTATTTACGACACCTAATAAATAATATCTATAACCCAGCCCGTAAGAGATCCAATTTCTTAAAAGTGTCTGGGAACGCAATCTAAAACCACCATACAACATAAGTTACCACGAAGTAATAATCATTAAAACTCTTAACGCACTTATCTTAAGTCAGTTTTGAATAGGAACGTTGTTTTCGATACACAAACTTTCCAAGGCAAGTAATAAATCAGCCACCCCCCTATCCACCTAAATTCGTATTTTCTATGAGAAACAAAACGATAGAGACGTCACAAAAACGATTAAACTGTGTATAAAAACCAGAGTTAAATGAGCTCAGATTTATTCAATTTTTGTCATTTGATGTGCAAGCATACATTTGTTATTTTACATTCAAAGCAATCAGTACCCAGTTATACAGTCTGTAGCTTTCCTAAACGCTCTTCCTAAACGACATCTATCCCACAATACCTCCTATTTCCCAAAGGTGTCAACGTCTCGACGCCCAACGCCTCTCCGTTCTACTTCCCTACCTTTGGACGTCCCACCGATATCACTTCTAACACCACTTAGTATTTCCTACCATTATATTCATCCCGACGCCCAACGTCTCGACGCTCGACGTCACTACGTCGTCTCTTTATCCGACGTCCCCATCCGTCGCTCAACGTCCCTGCTAATTATCCAGAATACAAAAATATAAAATGTCTGAAATAGCAATAGACGATAATATAAACCCAACGGCCTGTTTATCCGATAGTGAGTTAATAACAACCAAATTACAGTTCATCAAATTTCTAGAGGCTTTCGACGGCTAGACAGAGAAAGCACTACTGACAGGCATCCCGACGGATTTACGCAATGAAAGTACACTCTGCGCATCAAGTATTTAACTATTTCATTCAGACGTAAATGTCAGATGTAAATTTCGCTAAAACATTTCTTTTATTTTCGTTTGTGTTTTTTGCTCATTACAGTTTAATAGAACCTAAGTATGGAGTTTAATAGCAAATTAAGAGGCCGCGTGATTAACAGTCAATCTCGCGAAATAATAGCCAATGTTATAGAGTTTATGAGAAGAGAAGGAAACTTTAATTCACCTTCATTACCATTTAAAAATGTAAATGATCGTGTTGCTGCAGCCACAGGAGTATCTAAAAACACTGTCATCCGCATTTCTGGAGAGAAAAAAAGAATCGATAACCGTGAGATATCGGAATTTTCATCACCAAGAAAAACCATTAAAAAACCAAAAACAGTTAATGATATAGATGAAGCTGCACAAGAATCAAATTTTATTTTTTTATTATTAGATAGCTATTTTTGTTTCTGAGTTGTGTTCATTTACAATTTTTTTCCGTTTCTCCTTTTTGATTTTATATGGGGTTTCAAGTTGTTTTTGACTTATTTTGACGTAAATCACAACACACTTTTTTAATAAAGCAAACAAGTGTTAAGAGGTATATGTACGTGTAAACTACAATTACAAAAAATTGATATGAAACCCATGAAACCACCAACAAAAATGTAAAGCTAGCTTCCGTACTAGAACATGGTGTCATTCGTCGAGTTAATTTATCGTTTTGTTTAATATATATAGAAATGTAAATATTCCCCTGTTATTTTTTATAAAATTATAAGAGAAATAAATTTTTTTCTAAATAGTATAGTTTATTATTTTGTAGAAAAACAAAATTTCGAAAATTTTAGTAATGTTTCAGAAACAACCGTTATTAATAATAGGTACCATTTTCCTTAATAAGGTAGAAATAAAATATAAACTATTTCCACGATTTACAAAGGCCTACAAAAAAATTATAGGTATTTTCCGCTATCCTATAAAATTTATATTTTCTGACTCAAAAGGTTTTATGGCATAATAATTATTTTCAATTCTACATACTATCTTTAGCTGCTTTTAAAAACGTTCTAAGAAAGTCCAATCAGACCAATTTAATCCCTAAACTATTCCACACTTTTAAAATTTAATTACCTAAAAATATTAAAAACTATTTAAAATAACTTGTTTAGCAGACTGTACAATAGCTATCTTAGTCACACGTAGCGCGTTCTCTGTCTGGGCGTCGAACACCTCTAGAAATTTGATGAACTGTAAATTTGTAAAAATGGGAATTTATTGTTGAATAATAATGAGTATTATTGTGTAACTCATTATTATTCAATAATGGTAAATCTTTACCTTTGAGGAATTTATTGCTAGCCGACGTCGCATTTAGCTCGTCCAGATGTGTATGCTATGGGCCATATTGCCTTCAAATTAATATATCACCGTAAAAGATAATAAGAGTCTGGTTACCGAACTGTCAATGAACCCTCGCAAATAACAGCTCAGCTGATTGGGGTAAATGACACATCGGACGACTAGACTCATTTATACGAATATGCTTGATGTTACTACAGGGTTGGACTATCTTAGATAATTATCTCTCAATCTTCGCACCGTAGGTAGATCTGAACATAAGGGGTAGTTCGCTAGTATTGCTCTGGCTCTATTCTAGTAAGACTACATCTACATAAAACCCCCTAGGTGAGGCTGAAACATAAGGGATATCCGCCTGTTATTGCAACGACGGTATCTCAGTAAGCGCACCTATATAAAAAAGAAGACAACGAAACAAAGAATTATTAAAGATAGTGCAATTCTGAGGACGTCTGCTGTCTATTCTCAAGAATTGTTTATTACAAATATTTGATGGCAAGTGGTCTGTGGCCTGTTGTTTGGGCGAGACACATGTGAGGTCTACCTTATATTAAAATAATCTTTACATATTTATTTTATTGGAGATCAAGAAAATAAATTAAGTTAAATATACTTGGACCATTATTTCATTCACAAATTTGTACCAAACTTTGCATCGAATCCTGGTTTATTTTAATTAACATTATCACAACGTGGGTATATAAATTATCAATTAATTAACTAGACGATCACTACACTACACTACTAGAGGAAAAGGCCATATACAGTAAGTATGAATTTCTTTGAATTTCACAAGAGGAGGGAGGTAGTTAAATTAAAATACGGGCTTTTAATAATTATCTACAAGACAAGGGGGGTGGGAGGTCACAATATTAAGAATAATAAAAATAGAATCGTTGTACAAAAAAGTCATTATTAACTGTTTACTGATTAAACACCGTTTGATATACGCATTTAGCCTAAGAATTCTTTCCCTAATTCCGTAATTCACCTCATTAGTAAATTTATACCCCAAAATGAATGTGTTTATCTGGGGAAGGGACGTGATTATTATTATTATTTGCCGTGGCGCTTTGTGGCGACTTAAAGATAATTGATGGTGTCATTTGACTTACAGGTGAGGAAAACCCTAGTCACCATCATCGAAATGGTAACGTATGGCGATTTTTATAATCTGAATATCATATCAACAGAAATTAAATTTCTGCGAATACAGCATCCGTCAAATTTTCTGTAGGATTCTCTTGCCACAGAATTGCTTGCAAATAAATGCGCGCGTTAGACACAATAGGCATTACTTATATTGTGCAAAATTTTGTTTTAGTCCTGATATTTTAGAATCGCTACTACTTTCGTCACCGATAGTTGATGTATTTTTAAAAGTAACATTAATTTTTGATAACAAATAATTATAGGTGAAATAATTTGAAAATTTGGTAACAAATCTCAAAAATGCTACTTTCCACCCAGATATTATCTTAAAAGGGAATACAATAATTTCTTGTTAAGTCTTAATGAACAATTTATATAAGGTGATGATTTTAATACCAAAAATGTTTGCTGGAGCTCAAGACTTACTACAATCAAAGAAACAAAAACAGGTATTTTTGTATTTCCAGAAATATTGCAACAAAATTTATAACGATAGAAGATGTTGAGGAATTAATCTGATTACTCTCCACTACTCCTAACAATGAAGTTTATTAAAGTTATCCAACTTTTAGACAAACAGTATCCAGTATACAGACTCAAACGACTTAAACTTTTTGAGCTTGTGCTATAAATTGGAGTAATATAAAAATGTTGATTAATCTTAAATTAAGCGCATTTGGACATATTAAAAAAACATTATGTAAGAAGATATTACCGCATATGACACAAAATATGAATGATCTTGAAGACGTCGATAATCCACCTTCTTCAGTTCGTTTAATAGAATTGTGGAGTTTGTTGTTAAAATTCCAAGTGTAGCTCCTACGGCGAAAGCTGTTTGGCGGGCTCTTCTATTCAATGACCAGGAGCAAATGGATACTCCACTGTTCATTATTGCTCTTTTAAATAAACCTAGAAAAGAATGAATAGGTTTTTGTTAGATAAATAGATACTTTACTCGAATGTGACTATTAAGTGAATTAAAATAGCATCAAAAACATTTTTGTAAAAATGTCGCAAGAAAAATTTGAGTTAGTGACTCATATAAAAATATTTAAAAAGTGTGACCAAATGGAAATTTAATGTTATGATTTTCTTTTTAAATATATTTTTGTCATTTCCAATAAATGATTATTAGCAACTAAACAAATCCTATAACAGTAGCAAATGATAAACTAAGACTTATAATTTGTAAAATAAGTTGATGCGTTTAAGATATTCACATGTTGCATCTAGAAGTTTTGAGTTTCAATTCGCTTATTTTAATATATGTTTAATATAATCTTTTGTTGCAGGATTTTACTGTTTGAAGTATTTCTCCAGGTAAGTTTGTCATTAGATATTATTCTTAAAATTTTTTGATTTGAACTAAATTCGAAATTTTTATTATAAAGCCTTAAGTTTGAACGATATCCTGTAGGTTTATTAGAAAAAATAATCCCGGTAAATTTTGAAACTGAGAAATGAAAACTTGCATGATTGGACCATTCCTCTAGATTACTAATAAACTTTTGTATCATGGTAAGTCTTTCCCTTTGATAAATACGACTAGATCATCGACATATACACAAGCTTTTAGGGGTTTCTCAATTTTTTTAATGGCATTTATGGTTATAACGAACAGTGTAGAGCTTAAAATCGATCCTCGGGGCAAACTGTTTTGCAGTGTTTGAGAGCTAGAGTACCAGAATATTTATTCGAATAGATCTGTTGTTGAGAAAAACATTTACGGAAGCTAAACAGTATCCTTTGAGGTTCAGTTTATGTAGCTGGTTCAAAATATTGTATTTCTAGGCTGATCAAAAAATATAGCGATGCATTTTTGCTTGGTTGCTAAGGCATATACATCACTTATAAGCATGTGCTGTAATAGTCTTAAATCGGAATCCAATATTACACCTAAATTTTTTGCATCGTTAAAGACTTGCAGTTTTTTTGCCATTAATATTAACAGTTATTGATTGTACTACAGTTTGACGATGATACTTACTTCCAAATAACATAACATTAGATTTATCAGGATTGATTATCAAACAGTAGTCGGTTGCATAATTTATGAAATTCTGTAAATCGTTATTAAAAGTTTGACATGCACTTTCTACTTTTTGAGGATAAAAACTGTAGTACAATTGTGTATCATCTGCATAAAGTTGGAAATTACAATACTGGATTCGTGATAAGATATGAGCCGAATATATACAGAGTAATATAGGTCCAAGGATTGACCTTTGAGGAACCCCCTATCTTAAATTGATACTATTCTATGACATATCTTGTGTTATTTCAAGATGCACAGCTCCATGCATGTAAAAATGACTCAGTAACGTTTCTCGTGGGATCTTTTAACTGTAACATAAAGAGGCCCGAAATAGTCAACTCCACATTTTATGAATGGCCGAATTGTTCATTCTAATCTACATTTTGACAGCTGACCCATTCTTGGTATAACAGGACTACTCTTCATTCATTTACATCTTTGGCAACTATAAGCAATCTGTTTAACTTGCGCGTCTAGCTTTCAGAATCCAAAATTTTTGTCTTAGTAAACTTAATACTGATTCGGTTCCTTAATGTTGCATCTTTGCGTAATAGTCTTAAAATTAGTAGTCTTGTTATGACGTGTTTCTGTGGGACAATAATTGGTTTTCAAGTATATTTACTCAGGTTTGCTGCATTATTAATTCTTCCATTGACTCTCAATAAACCATCTTCATCTAGTTCACACATTAACTGAAATAGCTGACTAGAGGAAGGGATGTATTTATTTTGTCGAAGTAATTTGCATTCCACGTAGAATGAATCTAGTTGGGCTCTCTGAAATAGAAGTAACTTGTTGTTCATATGGTTTATTTGAAGAATATTTCGGGTTCTTAAGCTTTTTCTTTAATAAATTTATGAATTTTAACATCCAAGAGGTAGCTCGACTCAAACATACAAATTTTAAAAATCTTGTTGGTGTAGATATGTTAGGAATCAAGGTTTTGTCTCTTTTTATATTCAGTAATACAAATTCTATACATTCTTCAAAGTCGTTTTTATTTATACCTGAATTATGTATGTCTTTTTCTTCTTCGTGGAGGGGCCAATTACAGTCTGTTCGCTTTACTTACGCGGGTTTCGGATTAAATATTTTATGAGTATTTCCAGGTAAGTACCCGAAAGTTTGACCTGTTCGTTGGGGAAATATTAACTGGTTAAATGAAATGAAAAATAATGTAGAACTTTGTAATTAAATAATAATGGAGAATCTTTTGTATAATTGAGGGCATAATTAAACTTCTTCATTAATGGAGTCTAATGTGGCTATTACAAACCTAATAATAATTTTATATTACCCTTTACACAGAAAATATGGTCTATGTATAATAAGAGGGCTATTTTGCTTAAATAAAATATTTTCTAACATAAAAATTTGTTCCATGTAGAGAATTTCAAATGAAAAATAAAAAAATTGAACTTACCAACAAAAATTAAAATCAGTCATTATCATTCAAAATATCATAATCGTCATCATCATCACTTTCATCACCATTAATTGTTTTTATGATTGGACTTATTTCGTTTATTTTATTTTCACGAGTCCACCAATCTTCTATTAGTTTCTCGCACTTGGATATACAGTTCCGTCACACTTCTGGAGTTGCAATTGAAAGTGCTTTTCGCCAAGTTTCCCGAAATGCGTCGTCACTATAACCATTAGGCCCAATATGGTTGTCATAATATTGTTTTGCTATTCCCCATATACATTCGATGGGATTAAACTAACAATGATACGGTGGCAGTCGTAAAACTTGATGACCGTAAAGGTCTATGCCCACTATACCGTACCATACTATGACCGTGCCCGGACCTGATTTTTTTTTTGTATGGATTCAAATGAGGATGGTGTGGTCGATGCCGGGCCGGTCTAGTGGGCATTGTCTCATTTAAATCTATACAAAGAATATTTTTCTGCCTATGCCGGTACGGTCACGGTCATAGTATAATCCGGTGTAGTGGGCATAGACCTTAACTTTCAATAATCTGATCCACAACAAAGGTTTTTGGTTTTGCGTGTATATTTGCCAAGCGTAATAATTCTGATTTTAATATATATTGAGGAAACGGTATATTTTCCTTTGTCAACACTCCAAGAATTCGTTGGACTTTTGATTAATACTTCAGAATGGTAAGGTGCATTGTATAAAATAATTACGCTGGGCTCACTTAAACCTGGGAGAAGTTTATTCATCCAACCATTTTACAAACATTTCTGTGTTCGTGTTCATATTATCGTGATAGTCACTGGATTTTAATTTAGATGAAAATATTAAATCAGCACCTTCTATAAAACCCGGTTTCCCTCCTGCATGTAAAATTACGTGTCGCTTCCCTTCTCCATCGGTATGTCTGATGGACTTTACATTATCATCTTGACATATTCTCTTGGTTGCACCCCTAGAAAATATCCATGTTTTGTCTGAATATATAAAATTCGCTCCTTCTTCTTTAAATTTAGAATATTTTCTTAGAAAGTTAATTCTCTTGTGCACGACAAAACTTCTTTCATAAAGGGCCTTTCTGTTATCCTCCTTTTGAAATTTTAAACCCAAATTATGTATCACTTGCCATAGACTTGTTCTGCCAATGTCGTCAAATTTTCTATCTATTAATTCCGAGAGAATTGTATTTAAGGTCACATGTTCCTTGTTGGCACTCATTCGATAAATGGTATCACGAATTTTAAATTTCTTTCCCTCTGGAATATCTTTTGTTTTCAATGATGGGCGAGTTTTGCGGTGATCTTCTTTCGGCAGTTCACTATTGTGATTTTGTAATACTCCTTTTAATTTGGTTTCACTAATTCCTAGAGCATCGCATACGCGTTGTTTTACAGACATTACCGATTTTAAAGGACAGCCATTTTCTTTTTCATCCGTAAAATACTTATGTACACTACAAATTAGACTATCTACATCTAACACACGTCTAGGCATTTTTAAAATTTCCACTAAATTTACAATATACATACAATGTCAACACTTGCAAAGAATCAATTCAACTGCAAATTTAGTACCTACCCTAATGTTATTTTAATTTAAATCTGACCATAAGGGCAATTTTACCTAATTTCTTAGAAAAAGGCTTATTGGAACTGGTTGTCAATGACTAATTTGCATAATTTTGTTAATCCGAAATCCGCGTAAGTATAGCGAACAGACTGTATTTTCGGATTGTCGCAGGAACATCGGTCCTTAAATCCATCTGGATTTAACTAAAATGTTTAATTATTGCCCCTTTTTTGTGCCCTCATCTGCTACATTATCTTTTGATTTAACGTATCTCCACTCTGATATATTTGTTAATTGTTGAATTTCTCCTAATCTCTGTGCTATAAATATTTTAAATCGTCTAGCTTTAGCCTTAGAGCCAGTACAAAACTGTCTTTGAGAAGTCCGTCCAATATATAATTTTACTTATTGGTAATTTAAAATTTTCTTTAATGCTACTTCCCAATTTCGCACCACACCAAATAAGGCTGTCTGTAATTTTAAACGGGGTATTGAAGTTGGTTTTAATTATGCAACACTAACCTTTACGGTAAGGAAACAAATTCGATATCTACAAATCGAATAGTTTCGAATCTCACAACGATACAAATCGATAATCGATTTACATTCCAATACATCGATAAATAACGACAACGAGTTATTTACAATATTTAATATTGTTATCTGCTAGATTAACTAAATCCTAATACAGATGAACTAATTAATAACCTCTTATAAAACATTTCTAATTATAATACAAAATGTACATCCTTAAAATAACAATCATATCGAACGATACCCCATAATCGATTTATAGTTACAGAGTTAGTAATCATCAACAGAAGTTATCCATCACGTCACAGTCGTCGTCTGTCGAACAGCAGATGTGAATATATTTGAATTAAACAAAAAAATACCTTACAACATTACTCTCGTCATACTCTCTCCGGAGATAACTTAAATTTGAGTATGCCAGCTCTAAAGCATCATTTAAAATATGCAAATGGATGTTGCTATTACCTCTGGGCATTTGGCAATACTGTTGGGGAATTGCAAATTTGTGAATTTTCTTCAATTCTTCTAACCAAGACTGCCATTTTTGGTTTAAGTTGTCTGTAATTGGACTATCCCACTCTAGCTTGTATCGCCAAAGTTCTTGCAAAAGGATATTTTCATGAATGACGAAGTTGCTTAAAAAACCAAGAGGACTAAACACGGACATTGCTATTTTTAAAATTTGTCGTTTAGTGTTTTTTTTTGTTATGTAGACAATTTTATCTAAATTTGTTTTGAAGCAGAATATGTCATTTTCAGGATCCTATCACAGACAAAGTATTCTTTCGAGAATTGTTTCACTACTAAATATTTTTTGATTCATGTCTAGACTTTTCTCCCCGATTGTTTTGAACTTTTCGTCAATCGTGAACGAGACTTCTGGTTTGTTGCTTATCCACTTACTTATGTTAGACCCTGCTTCACTGTGAATGTAAATGACTTCTTGGATTAGTTTTACGGTTTCTGTAGAGGGAGAAAGCTTTTTAAATGAACGTTTGATTGATGAATGTTTTTGCTATTAAAATGCCTGTAATTTGGTAAGTTTGTTTTAAAATTATCATTTTCCATTGTGATTGATTCTGTGTTTACAATTGTTTTAGCTTCGGTGATTGGTGATGGGCTTTTCTCTTCAGTTGCAAATTCAAAACAGGTGATCGATTGATAACTGGACTTGAGGTGTTTGTTGAGCTATTGTTTAATTCGTTAGGACACTGACTGAATTTATGCTCGCTTTCTTTACAGTTGTTACAGCTTATTTTCTCTTTAGAAATGCATATTCTATAGGTGTAGTATTATTAAAATTTCAAAATTATAAAGAGATGCAAATACTTGTTCTTAAGAAAGTGATAAGCGACACAAGATTTAAGCCTATTTTATATAGACATATTTACGATAAATACTGTCATTCAAAACTTGCTGTATAATTTAGGTCTTATAAAAATACTAATAATGTTCTATAATATAAATAATATTACAATTACCTTTAGATTTTGGCGAATTCAAATGCATCGCGACAGAGGCTGCACCAGCACTTTGTCCCATAATAGAAACATTATCAGGATCACCTCCAAAATAACGTACGTTCCTTTGTACCCATTGAAGTGCTAAATTTTGATCTTTAAGTCCTAGATTTCCGGGACAGGCCAGATCGCCTGTACTCATAAAACCAAAAATTCCCAAGCGGTATTGTATGAATACAACCACCAAATCTTCATCTAAGAAATAATCAGGACCATTTGATTTGTAAGAACCACTGCCTATTTCAAATCCTCCCCCATGTATCCAGACAAGCACTGGGCTTTTACTAGTAAGCTATAAAAAGAAAAACTCACTATCTAAAGCTACATTTTTTATTTTCCTAATACAAGATATAAAACTTTAATTAATTTGAATTATATTGTTTAAAAATAACCAAATACAAATAAAAGAACTAAAAACAGAACCAAATTGTATTTTTTTATAAAAACAATATATGTGCCCACCTTGCAAGTTTATTTTTGCACCTGGACCTATCTAGTTAATACTAACCTTACGTGTATAGACACTTAAAAACAAACAGTCTTCAGATCCTACCGCACCATTACCAGTTTGAACACATTCTGTTCTATCGAAAGTACAATTTAGGATATCAGACCATCGTTTCTTTAGTATAGCCAACTGTAAAAATAATTCAAATAAATTTCTTGATTGGGTCATACAAACATAACATTGGAAATAAATACTAGACAGTAAATTTTACATCATAATGTGAATAATAAAACAAAAAGCAATTACTATTCTTTACTTATAAAATATTACAGTGTATGTGATAAAAAGTTCTTTAGACCATTTGGTAACAAGATATAGTGTATTAGTGTCAAAGACATTACAACAATTACAAAGACCAAATTCTTTACATTTTTATGTGGCAAATCATTATTCCCACCAGATTCTCGTTTATTGCGTCTTTGCCGATTTTATCAGTCTGTCCAAATTATTTGGAGAAATTACTTTCGAAAAATAAAATTTGATGTGTCCTGTAACTATAATTTTATATTATATAAATAAAAATATGTTTTTAATCAAATTATTCTTTGAAGTTTTAATATAAGCTAAATTTTTTATTAAAAAATCAATATTAATCTAAACAAAATATTAGGGTTTCGAAGAACTCCGTAAATACGGCAACGCTGAATATCTTATTTTACGAATTTACAATTTTTATGAATGAAATGTAGTACCGTAACCAGCCGCAACGTTGCCAATCAGGTATAACAGCTAGTTTGTATTTATGACAGTATCTGAGAGTTTCTGTGTGACTTATTGATTTATTCATTTATAAAATACTATTTTTGTGAGAAATATAAAGAATAAACAGTCTTAAAACAGTTTTTAAAGTGATATTCCTTTTATAAATTAGTAAATTTTTCTTATACCAATAAATAATTATTGAATAGTGGCAAGGAAAATTTAACGTAAAATGTAGAATACCTTAAAAATGATTTACCTATTGAGCACCTATACATATTTTTTATTCTATTTAGGTTTCCGCAAGATCCTGAGAAAAGAAAACTTTGGTTTTCTCTAATAGGAATCCTTGAAAATCAGCCCCTTCGTAAAAACCCAGAGTTGTGTTTAGAAAACTGTTTTCCTGAAAATGTTTTGGTACGTGCAAATGGTACTAGATATATTAGAAAAGATGCAAACTCCAGGCGGTGTGAGGGCTTTCTATTTTTGGATGACTTATCCAACAGGTAAAAATACAAAATATTAATTTTTTGTTTACCTCTAAACATTATTTATTACCTATATATATGTATATCTAATGTATGGGTTTTTAGTTCTGATTCAACTGTTCTTGGAACACCACCTGCTGCAAAAAGAAACATTGCAGTAAGTTATAACATTAATAACTAAGCATAAAAAATTAAATTAAATTTTAGTTAATAAAATTAAAGTATTTTATATATTTAAATCATTATTTTAAAAATTTTTACAGTTTTTTTACGATATTTTTTGCCATACCCAGGGCTGGTATATCTAAGGGGGTCGCGACATAGACCCAGTAAATGGATGAGGGGGTGACTGAGGCTAGGGGGAAATAGTAGTCAGCTTAAGTTGGCAACACTTTTCTGATGTTCGTTTGAACGAGCATCGTGCATAATAATGTCAATATGGTACAAGTGGAATGAACCACTGTTTTCCTCGTAGTCCAATGTCGAATTAAAACTAAAAACATTTTGTACTTTTTTATATACCAAATTATGCAATTTGTTTCCACTTTATTTTAATGTTACATGAATAGGTACATGCGTTTGTGCTGTGGTAAATAAGTGTTCATGTGAAAATTATATCTTAAACTACATTGTGACTGCACTCATCTCGAAACTGAATTCTGTAAATCCAGGATTTAAATCTTTCATAGTGTTGCTTGGGATAAATTGTAAAAAAAGGTGTTGGACAAAACGTTTACAACCTAAAATTGCATGAAAAACACGATAGAAGAAGGAATTTTACCTTTATGACATTCTCTTTCAACATTTTTAAGTGACTTTGTGGTTTGGTGAATGGACTGTTACCACAGTCAAAAGATTCAAAGTAAAAAAAGTGACCAAGTTCTAATAAGAATACATAAGTTGAATATGAAAATGTAATTACTTGATTTAAATGTGATTTAATTAAGAGTTACATAGATGTTTCATATAAACAAAGTGCTGTAAAATGTTAATAAATGCAAAACCATTATTAAAGAGAAATTAGTTATCATCAATAAGATATTTTGTAGTAGCTGGTCTCTATAAATAATAAACTTGAAAGACTGAATTAGTAGTCACTTTTACACTAGAAGTAAAAACAAAAAAAAAAATGTGTGGTTGAGACTAATTTGTGTATTTAATAAAAACATATTTAACATAAAAGCGGTGTTATTTGAAATGTTTTATTTTAGTTTAATAATCTTTATAAATTGTGGGTACATTTGATCCGAATCTTGCAAATACTATAAAATTCATATGCTTCTATATGGTTAGTATTGGAGTAGAAGCACAAAAGTTTTGAATAAAAATATATTCTTTAAATACAATATTCACTAGATATGCTAATTTTGGTAATTTTCTATTCGAAACCATACATGTTTTCTATTATAGTTTTCATATGTTTATAATTCTGGAGATACCAGAATATTTTGCTTGATTACTAAACTTTGGATGTTTTTGTTGTAGTCTGCTGTTAACACTATTGTCCTGAAATATTAAAAAAGCTATACAAAGTTTTGTCCAACTCTTTTGTCAGCTTTGTTAATCTATGCTACTGTTAGTCTGCATGCAGACATTTTTTACTGGAGATTTTCTCTAAGAACTGTATTCAGTTTCAAATTTCGGCCAGTTTTAGGAAAGTACCTCTGTTGTAAAGGTATTTCAAAGCCATCCTTTGTGAGATGTAGACAACAAATACATGCTAAAATGTATAGAAAACAAATCGCAAGATATTACACAAAATTATTTAAATTAACTAAAAACATACAAATGAAGTGAATAATACCTACCAACAATTTAAAAAGACCTAAAATAAATAGACTTAAGGGACTGGAGCTCTAAAAAAGGGAGCAATAATTTTTTATGCATCATCTATAAGAAAATTGTCTTCATCTCTTCAATTACTTTTTAAAATAAACAAAACTAAAACAGCACAAAATTGAAAGTGATCTACTTTTCCCTACGTATTTTATGTACATATGAGATTAATAATTTATTAAATTGAAATATTTTATCGTAAAAAATATGGGCATTTTATAATGGAAATGTCATTTAAGAAATGACATTGATTTTTTTTCTTATATTGGTAAACCTGGCGACTACAAGTTGCTACGTTGCCAGATCAATGGCGACTACTATGTGACTACTATTTCGAAAAAAATGGCGTCCAAATTGGACTCCTATGTCGCGACCCCCTTAGATATACCAGCCCTGGCCATACCATGTTTTTTTGTAATTATTAATTAAAAAATTATATATTTTTAGGACAGTGTTTTATTTAGATACCCCTACCTACTTAATGTTAATTTAAAATTTTAAATAATGTTGGTTAACATCATACCAGGCAAATATATAGTAAATGCCAATAAACTATAAACCAATAAATATTAAAAATCGAAAGGTAACTTGAATTCGCTTGTATTTGAATTTACTTGTACTTGAATTTACCTACATGAAAAATCAGCAAGTATCATGCAAAACTATTGTAATATACTCTGATAGCCAAGTAGCTCTAAAGGCAATTCTCTCACCAGAAATCAAATCACAACTGGTGAAAGACTGTCTAGAAGACCTGACAGAGCTAAGTAGTTAAAATAAGGTAACCTTAGCCTGTGTTCCAGGCCATGAGGGATATCAGGCAACGAAAAGGCCGACGAATTAGCCCGAGGAGGCTCAGATAAGGCCATGACAGGCCCCGAACCCTTCTGTGGAGTTGCTAAGGCATTGTGCAAGGCATCCATTAAACAATGGATGCAAATAGAGTCTCAGGAATGGTGGAATAACTATCCAAGACTGAGACAGGCCAAACAGTTCATCAAGGAACCATCGGCCAAGTTCACGAAAGACCTACTGGATCAAAAGCGTCAAATCGTTAGGATAACAGTAGGCCTTCTTACTGGACAATGTCGCCTCAAAAGGCACATGAGTGTCATAAATCCAGCAGAAGAAGCAACTTTGTGCAGGTTCTGTGAAGAAGAAGAGGAAAAATATTCCACGTCCTGTACCAATGTGAATGCCTGGCTGGAACGAGGTTTCTAACATTGGGCGAAGAAAAGCCAATTGCATGCAACTACATGCGGGAGCCTCTGTCAAAGATTAATAAAAAAGACCAGGCTAGACGACATACTCTAAAACAAACAGGAGTCCCACAATGGATCTGAAAAAGGTCGCGGTGGACAAGGACAAATAACGTTCAACTCATAATCTAATCTACCTATATGAAAAAATCATCATAATTTTTTTTTTAATTTGGTGTCATCGGCGTCGAATACTACGGCCATTAGCCTCGTGTTCTGTGTGGGCTTTGTTACTGTTTCCCAGCGCCACTTTAGGAACAGCACTGTTAATTAGAACCCAACAGTGAATGGTCGAGTGGGGAATCCTACCAAGGCATCAGAATTAATTTTAAATAATTAAATTAAATAAAAAAATTCCGGCCAACGGTGGGATTCGTTCCTGAGACCTTTCGATCTCAAAGTCATGACTCTAACTGAAACAGAACGGATGTTATGCTGCCAAAAAGGGCTGATTCAAATAATCAAACTAAATAAATTAATAACGTATTTGACACCTTACCTTTTGGAATATTGGACTGATCGGCGAGCGGCACACATGAAGCAAAAAGGCACAAATATTAAGCGACGGCGAACGAACTTGTTACTTTGTTGGCGATACATCGATGTCTCTCGATTCTTTGAAAAGGTCCAAAGCATGAACCGTTTAGGTGGGGCAAAGTGTCAAAATAGATAACGCGAATTTAAATTAAGAAATTAATAAAGAAAATAAATCCATTCTCGAACATTTTCTGCCCCGGGAAAATGCAATTGTTGCATTTTAAGCAAAAAAAAATATATATATATATATATATATATATATATATATATATATATATATATATATATATATATATATATATATATATAT